AACGAATCGACGGTCCACGGGTACCGAAAAGGGCCGATGGAAACAAATGGGGAATCTCTTCGGTGGGCCCATAACCTTCTACGCGTCCCACGTGTGATCTGACACAAATGCCCTCTCCTTGCCACCTGTCTTTAAAATTCCAATCTTACCCTTGAAGAAAACTTTATTTGCGGATTAGTCCCCTTCAGGTGTCAGTTTTTCTCCCTCTAAAGAGACGTTCGTCGGTGTCAGTCCCAGGCTTGCTCATTAACACGCACGCACAAAACTCTGCTTGCTCTCAGTAAAAGCAAAGCTCACTCACTTTCTCTCCCACTAAAACTTCAGTTTCTCTCTCTTGAATTTTGAGATCTTGAAACCCTAGAAAATGTCGGATTATGCATTGTAGGGATCAATCGGGGAAGCTTAGTCGTTTCTTCCCCTCCTCCTCATTTTGATTCGTCGTTGCAATTTTAAGGTACTGTTTGGCGCATTTCTGTTTTTCCCGCGTTTTCTTCTTTACTTTTGTTTGGAACTGATTCCTTGTTTGATATAGCATTTACTTTTCTAGTTAGTTGTTTGAGCATTAAATTTCTCTTCGAAGTGGAAACAAAAAAAAGTTGTTTTAAATATTAATGAATTGTACTCGTTAATTTATCATTGTGAGTGGACACAGTTTAGACGAAGGTGATTACAAGCTAGTTAAGTTAATTAAAACTACGTATTTTTTCATTTAACTAGAAATAAGCATTTCTTTGGGTTTTTCCCTCTTGTTTTTTTTGGGTACAAGTGTTACTATTAGTTAAAAATATTGCGTTGTTGAGAATAAAAATTATCTACACACACACACACACACTTACTCACTTATATTATTAGTTCATAATTCTTTTTGGGTACGAATTAGTTTAGAAATCATTGTTGTTAAACATAAATTTGTTTATGTTTCTGTAACGTTCTTAATAGTACTTTGTTAATCATTTTTCCTTGGCATTGTTTTTTTCGTTTTCTTTTTTTTTTCCTCCTGATAAATTTTCTGGTATGTTACCAGAAAATGAATTCTTGATTTCATTTGTGGAAATTTACGGACCTCGGTCAAGGTTCCTTTACCCCTTAAGTCAGTAAAGAAATACAGTAAAGGAACAGAAGGATACTTGAATATGAATTATCAACATTTCAATTAGCAATAGAAGCAATGGATAACATTTTCCTTTTTCCTTGTGTAATGAATCATTATTGTGCTTTCTCATCTTCTGCAGAAATCATAATGTGGGCATTGTTTTCTTTTCAGGATACAAAAATAAAAAATTCATGGCTTGCAGCCTCTGGGGTCCGTCATTCCATGAAGGTACTTTGTTGTTTCTCAAATTAGAACTTATGAAGCATTATTAATTTGGTCATTGTTTTTGAGTGTGATTTGACTGAATGGGCGTAATCTGCAGAAGAAAGCAGGTGTTGCATACAACCAGGATGGCAGTGTGACTTTTACTTTGGCTATGGCTTCGGTATTATAATGCTTCTATTTTTGTTGTGATTCTGATTGGTATAATTTGTTTCTTGGCTTCCGTTAGTACCAATGATTATACAGTTTTCTTTGTTTTCTTTTTACACCTGTAGACATGATTGAGGAAAATGCTTTGAATGAGAAATCTTGTGTTCAAGTACTGAGGATATTGATTACAAAAGCAGATACTGAAATCGATGAACTTGAAAAAGATTTAGTATTGCTACAAAGTGAACTAGCCTGGGCTGAACATGAAGAATGGTCTGACATATGCTGCAATGCTTTGAGAGCAAAGATCGATTGCCTGGATATCTCAATACGGAAATTGAGGAACAAGGATGAGAATGACATTGAGGTTTACTTACTGATGCATACAGAACCTGTTGAGAAATTGCATGAAATAGTTAAGGCTCTACTCAAAAGTTTTTGCCATGAGAAAGATGAACAGGTTTGAGTCCTCAATGTTTTTCATCATTCTTTCTTTAACTTGCCATAAACATGATTCAACTCTGAACTTAAAAAGGATGATACAATTAGATTGTGATCTAGTGTTGAGTTTTACAAGTTATCTCTTATTACTCCGAAATTTCAACTGAAATTTTAAACCATTGTATTGCTTATTGCATCTGCATTTCTAGTTATTTTGACCGGATGCTTGATTCAATTGCTGATACCATTGTTGTTTCATATTGTTCTGATTGTTTGTTTAGCACTATCTAGATGTCGCAGGGTTGTAGTCATGTTGAATTTTTCTGCTACCCTCGGTCACTTTGGAAGGAAAGAGAATGGAAAGCCTTTAATAGACTGAAAGAGGGTGGAATATTGTTTAGTGTTTTATTTATTTGGAGTGCTTTTGTACAGTTGCGAAATTCGATAAGCATGGAATAGTTTTTACTCCCTGTGGTTTTATATCATTTACTCATTCAATTTTTCCTTCTATATCTGCTTCATATACGCATTATTTCATGAACTATAACGCAATTCTCCTTTCCATAATGAGCAGTGTCAGGGTGTTGTCTTAGATTCAAGTTGTGGTTCTCCAGAGCAGTCAGCTGACCTGCATAAGAACCAAAAATTGAGCACCTCAGATTCACATTTTATTGCAAAGGAGGAATTTAATGGTCCCATTGTTACTCCCAGCGAAAACTGTACTTCCTCAAAATCACATACAGAGATTGAAAAGAAGAAAGCAAATAGTTCGGAAACAGTTAAGATACATGTAGCTTTGCCCTCGCATGCTTTAACATAGCATGATCAATTTACTCATTCATTTACATATGGAATTTTAACTTTTGGGTTGTCTATTTATCATCACTAGTGAAATAGTTGGCCATTACTGCAATACAGTCACTGAGGACTGTATTAAATGTAATATTATATTAATAAGATAGCTTGCCATGTTTCCCCTACTTTGCATTCTACTTTGGACCTTTTTAAATGTTCTACATCTCTCTATCTGGGCTGTAGATGTAGGATTCTCCATCGATCAATTTTGTATTTTTTTGTTTGAATTCTTCATGCGAACTCTTAAGAGGCACAAGTTTTAGTACTCATTATTGGATTTAATAGGCTATTATTAGTTTGTAATAACTTGTTGCTGGCTTTACATTAGATTTTGATGGGTGATATTGTTGGTCTGCAAACACTGGTAGCTTTCATGATAGAGGATATCATGCGTGCAACTGCATGTTTGACTCTAGTTACTCATAATGTTGTTGATGCATCATAAATTTCGTGTTTGTAAATTGTTGCTGGAATGGTCAAAATGTATCCAACCTTATTATACTTGGAAACTTAGAATCATTGAACAACATGGTGTGTCTTTGCTTTGATACTACTGTTAAAGTTTTGTTACGGTATTGATAGAGAAGGCCTTTAGAGGACACAACATTTGTAGGTTGACACGTACTCCATACACTTGTTTTGTTGAGCTTGACTTGTAGAAATGTATTTAGTTGAGAAAATGGTTAAAACAAGGGAAATTTTTGCTATCTTGACTTTATTTCAGTGCTAAAATTAATTTAGAGTACTTACTATGCTTGAGTAGGGGTGAGCAAATTTGGTTTAAACTGAATCAATTAAATTAACTGAATTTTTTTGGTTAATTCAGTTAAAAAGTTAAGTTAATAATCAATTTAATTTAACTAATTCGGTTAAAATAAAATTTCAGTCTGTTTGGTTAATCTTTTCAGCAAGTTCAGTTAAATTGATTAAGAGAATTTTTTAACTGAATTAACTGAGTTAACCAATTGCATACCCCTAATTTTTAGCTTGACTGTCCTTTTTGTGTTAGGTACTAAACGAATGGGGACTCTAGAGTGTAGAAACTAAAAGAATGGGGACTCTTGAGTGTAGAAAGCTGAAAAGAGAAATCATATGTGCCTATATTTTATTTGTTTAAAGACAAAAGAGCATACGAATATAATTTGTTCTTGGCATCTATGGAGGCAGAGAAACTGATCCACATGTTCTAAACAGTATAGTCATTTTAGTTCCAGAAAGACCTCCATTTTTGTAATGCAAGTTGCAAGATTATATTCAACCAAGCATGTTTGTACTCATGCATGCATTTGTATCTTCATGCTATTGTCTCTTCTTAGCTCAATTTTTTAAATAATGTATTGGCTCATTATTTTTGACCATAACCAAGCCTGTGTGTAATTTTTGGATGGAGCTGTATTCTGATGCTGCTCTCTTCTCAGCTGAGTGTTGGGTACAATGTGATGGTTCACGACCATTGGCCATTTACATATGAAAAGTGCACTTAAATGGTAAAGAATAGTATATAATATAGAAAAGGAGGAGAAGAAGCATTCTTGCAGACTAACATGGGTGCTGAGTTACTCTATGAGTTATGTTTTGGCAGCTGCTGCTTGAATTTTTTTGGTTGGTACTAGCTGCACCTTGGCAAAAATATTGACTGCTTTACTGCCTCCTCTTGATGTCCTTATGTATCATTCACAGCTAGCAACTACCAGTTTCAAAAATATGATACCACATTCCCTGGCACCAGTGGCTGATCAATTTGATGAGAAGAAAGTTGTAACCAACCTTGATTTAGAAACTACCAAGGAGCAAGGAATCAAAGATTGTGGTCTTACTCTTAAAGACAAAAATGTGATCGAAAATTCATCTTTTAAGTCTGCACAGAAGAGAATGCATAAACGAGACAGGGCTAAGGTTAAGGTACTGCTCTTGCTAACTTTTTGGGCTAATCCAATTTAAAATCATTTAGTAAGCTCTGATCGAAAGGTGAAAAACTTGAGGAAATTTTTTTGAAAAGGTTTGACTGACAGTGTTGGTAGACATGCTATCCTGCAACCTCAAGTCATATTTTTATTGTGGCATACCAAATAATTAAAATGAAAAACGTTAATGCACTTGAACCTGTCTAAAGTATCTTTCTATTCTTTTCATGTTTTTATTTAACCTTCTGCTTGATATAAAGGGTGCTTTTAGTGAATATGAGTTCTCTTGTAATCAGTTCAACTCAATAAAGGGAAAGTTATTTGAACATTCTGTTTGTGGATGTCTACACAAAATGATAAGGTAGACCTTCTAAGTTCAACTCTCACATAATATAATCATATGGAATGAGTTTGCAATGATGATACTCAGAGAAAAAATTGAATCAATTGTCGTTTATGTTGTTTTCTAGGTTTTTACTGCAAATTTGTAAGAAAACGGTCTTTTGCAGCTTCCTACCCGTAACTTTACCCAGATTATCATATCAATATGCTCTTGCTCTTTCACTTATTTATATAATCATGTACAGCACTGTACTTTCTGGTATTGAAAGTAAATGGTATTGAGTATGCTTCTTTTCAACAGGAGCCTGCTGCACAGGTTGTGAATAATTCAGGCCTGGATGCCTCATATCATTCAGCTGACCACCTGAACAAGAAGAGTGCTTCTAGATTGAAAATCGTGAGTGAGGAAGCAACAGTACACACTTCTATATCTGCATCAGATATTTTAATCCTAGATTCATCATCAAATCCAAGGGGGAAGAGAGCAGATCTTAGCAGGAAAGTGAAGGTATGACCTGCTATTTAATTCATGTCAGCACCAAAATGTGCTGCATCATTAGATAACTTCATGGCTATACTTAACATGCTTTGAGGTTGATTCTGTTATGACTGCCCTCACTTGAGGGGGCTGTTGCAGTCTGTGGTACCTTATTCTTATCAGTTCCTCCTTTTAGAATGAACAGCCTGCAAATATTATTGCCAAAGATTTCGACTCAATTGCTTGTAAACAGACAACAGGCCACTCCAATGAGATGAAAAAGCTGCGCAAGCATGACCTGAAAGTTAATGGATGTGAAGTGCAAGAACATAATACAACTACTATCGGAAAAAGTAAAATTTCAAATTCAAGTTTGAATTTTGAACATAAAGGAAATATTCTGAAAGCAGATAAGGTACAATAAGCTCTTTCTCTCACATGTAATTGTCAATTTTAGGAAAATATACCTATGGCTATAACTAGCATTTGTTTCCATAAGTGTATTTCAAGTGCTACTGTGAGTCATTTGTTCAAATCTAACTTAAACTTGCCTATTTAATTAGCTTATAATGTCATTTTCTGCAAGCAGCCTGCAAATGCTGTGGTTAAAACTATTAGTCCTGATACTTTGAGACATGCCACTGGCCTCAACGGGAAGGGAAATAATTCTGATTCCAGGTTAGGTGCTGTCGGACAGGCAGAAAGTCTAAACTGTGATATGGAGCAAAAACTTTGTGACTTTGCTGCGAAATCTGCACGTAAACGAGGCATCAAAGAGTTAAAGTTTGCTTCAACTGAGCAAAAAGAGCCTTCAAGTTCATTCTTTAAGGGAGAAGGGAAGAGAAAAGACTCTTTACAAGTTGTAAAGCGAAAAGAAGCTCCACTGAGTGACGATGAACACTTCGCCTTAACCTCACTTATAGAGCTGCAGGATGAGAGGGGAAAGGATAAAACCATTCTACAGATGGAGGGAAATCCACAACTGGAGGAAGTTCAGATGGCTGAAATTGCTGCTAGAGATGACAAATTTGTTATGAACTTATATATGAGGTCACAAAGAGGAAAGCTAAAGATAGTAAAGACAACTGAGTCGATTTCAGCCAGTGTTGAAGAGCCTAGTTTAAATTCCAAGGAGAATGTTTCAAACTCATCTCCTATTTCAAAGGGCAAGAGACCATGGAAATATGCTAACAACCATACTTTAAATTATTCTTTGAGTGGTAAAATCACTAAGAAAACAACTCAGCATAGCCAATATGAAGTTGAAGACCAGAGCATGATGCTCGATGCTAGCCAGAATACAATGTCACTGCCACAAAAGAAATGTAAAAAGTTTTCTAGTGTACCAATATTTGTGGAGATCAGAGGTTCATCTGTACAAATGAACATCTCAAAGTTGCATGCGAATCTAAATGGGAGTACAGCTAAGACAGATATTTCTATATCAGAGGCTTCTGTTGATGGTTCCTGTATAAAGGGTGTGACACCCCAGCCTTTTGATATAAGTAACTTGATGAAAATGAAGTTGTGTGACCTGAGGGCAATTGCAAAAGCACAGAAACTAACAAAATACTCTGGACTTCGGAAAGAAGATCTGGTCAAGCAATTGGAAAATCGATTCCGTTGCTAATGAATATGTGGATGGCTTCTGTACAGGTTGGTTTCCCAGTTGTTTTGTTTTCTTGTACATGTTATAAAGAATTTTTTCTTTTGGCATGCCTGGTTATCTTATATAGTTTGAATTGCTCCAGTGTGCTGCATCATTGTCTGAATCCCAAGGTAAAATCTCATGGTGCAGTCTTCATTGGAAGCACAGGTTTTTCGAAGTACATAGAATCCCAGAAAACAACAAAATGTAGTATTCTTACTTAGAGGACCTGGTTCAATGGCTCATCAAATGACATTTTCTTCTGTTCACCTATTTGGGAGATGGGTGTTGTGCACCGTAGTGACCACACACACACACACACACACAAAAGTATCGAGTCAAAACATGATATTTGCTATAGGGTTGTAAACGCAAGTCTATCAGTTGTGGTTTATGGTAACAGGAACATACTGATATGATCAACATTATAGATCAAACGGTTTTCTGCTGTCTATTTGACATTGTTGTCAGGATTGTGCTTGTCGCTTCAATTGTCGCTTACCAAAGTGCAAATGAATATGATTTTTATTTTACGTTTGAGTTGCACAAGTGTTGGGAATAATTATCCATAATATAGAAGCCTTTTGAAGTCTTTTGGAATAAAAAAAATTTCTGATTTTTCATTGATAATGCATTCGTTAATTACTATAAAATTCATCCTCAAATTAAACTAATTTTGTTTCCAATTTGGCTTGAGATGGACATGTATCAAATTTGTTAAGACAAGAGTAGTTGTGATGGATGGACGATCAGGCTTTAAATTGTTTAAAAGAAATTTTGGGAGTCAAGGAAATTAGGTGGTGATCGTTGGAACCAAATCTTTTGAGAAACCTTGTAATGTGCCTCCGAGATTAAAAAACAGAGGAGTCATACTCATAATTGATGAACTATTAGGAACGAAGGGGTGCAATTATCTTACAAGTTAATGGTTATTAAATTTCGTTGCCAAGAAAAGCCAAAAGAAGCCCTTTCCTTTGACTAAACGACGTTCTGCAAAATTGCAACAATCATGCCTTGTGTCACAATCTCATAGTAACAAGCGATCACCCCAGGGTTTATCTCTTTAATCTGTAACTGAGGCGGCACTTCTCTATTGGTCGCATTAAGTGCCCCCCTCATACAGGCTATATCTATGGCAATTGAGGCTCATTTTTTGGCAACATGAAATATTCCGAACAAGTTTCCTTCTCTTACTCACCAATTCCCAGGTATCTTCTATCAACTCCTAGAGCTAGCTCCCTATTTCTTTCTACTTCCAATATCCTAACCCTTACTACCATCTTACTTGTTTGATCTGCCACAGCACTAACTATTCCGGGGTCTGCTCCTATCCTCATCTCTGTTAACTTGTTTGCATCCCATGTCCAAAGGACTTTCCATAGACGTCCACTCAGAAGGTCTATTTCAAAGCAAAGGGCATTTTCATTCATGTTTTCTCCTCATCAATACCAAGTCAATCCAATTGGTTATATAAATTCAAAAGGCAAATCTTACAGGTGGCTTGCCTTGCAGAGGCACAATCAGACCACTTTCACAAGAAACATGTGAACAATCTATAGAATTCTTTTGTCACAAAGCACCAGACTTTATCTCAGCTTAATGTCAATCCAGAGGGACCAAACTCACAATCTCATCTTTTCCAACTTTTGTGCTGTTGCTTCTGAAACATGACCTGATGACATCAAAGAGCAGTATCAGCAAGATGTCACCGATGTATGAATCCAACAGCCATCAAAACAACCACTAAAGAAGGAAATAAACATGACTCATTAGGTAGGCATGAACGTCAGGCTATTTCAGGAGCCAAGAAGAGGACTAGTGACCAAAAGAATTTGGGGAATGAGGATTATTTCAGTGCTGAACAAAATAATTTCCCAGCACCTAAAATTTGGCTTTTATATTCACCAAACAATTTCTCCTCTCCACTCCCACCATGAAATTTTGATTTTTAATTCTTTATTTGCAGTATCATTTTACTTCCTTTGGTTGACATAGCCCATTATAATGATCCACATAATCAGACTGAAACAAGGTCAAAGGAAAATTTTGGAATTCAGCTGCATCTGCTTTCAACTTAAATCAATATACATGTGAAGAAAAACATCATATTGTTAAAACTCTAATCTCGAGCTGCAAGTAAAAACATCATATTCTTAAAAGTCTAATCTAGAGCTGTCCTATTCCCAAAATTACTTGTATATTGTATCTAGTTGTAGGACAAATTGATAACATATAAGCTTCTATAGTCAGCATAACAGTTTTCAATTGTTACCTCTCATACTCTCCAACTTCTGATCAGCCTCGCTAACTGCTTGGACAAGATGGACAATCCGATATTTGAGTTTTTCATTTTCCACAGCAAGCTTCTTAGCCTACATGGTAACAAGTCAGCATGCTATAAACTCTGCTGTTTTCCATAAAAAAAAGACAAAGGTCAACTACCTTCTCTCGCTCTGCAAGTGTCTCAGCGTTTGCATCTTCTAGCTTTGCCTGTAGTTCACTAATTAGTTTGGAAGGTTCCCGATTTCCGGCATCTATATTGCTAATATTTAGGTAGACTCATTAGAATCTTAATTTATTCAAACTAAATCAGTTAGTCAAATGGAATACCTTGGCCATTACCTGTCTTGCGAGCTAGAACAGCTTCTAGTCTGGATAACCGTTTCTTTAATATGAAAACAAAACTAGTTAGCAACATACAGGATGCAATATTATGAAAAAGCCAAGTGTTTATTGACTATTATCCAAAATCACAATATAATTAAAAGCATTGATAGGCATTTCAAAGAACAGCAGTTCAAAAAGTTCTGATAATTCTACAGGGCATAAGTTAGAAATTAATGACAAATCACTAGTATGAGGTACTTCTAAGCCCTGATATGGAGGTTGCTTGACAGAGAGCCACTCCAGAAGTCCAGTGTAGACAACTGGAAACATATCTGCAGACATAAAGCATCAGGTTCTAAAAGCATACATTTTGTTTCACAAGGTTAAAATCACCAAGGCAATTTCCATGACTGCTCAAACACAGCAATTGCAGAATCATCTGTTAGTAACCCACTAAGAAACGAATTAAGATACATCCACGGAACTCCATTGCGGGTGAAAATGATAAACTCATACAATTTGACCCCCAAAAAAACCAAAAAAGGAAGTGGGGCAATGGGTTTGTAGGCAGAAGGTTCAAGCAAGAGAGAATTACCCAAAAATTTCCTAACAAAATTTGCCGTAGGAGAACTAAACTGGCTGCACTTGAAACCCAAATTTGTATGCAGATTAAAATAGAACCCTTCATCCAGCATTAGACAAAGACTGAGTTTTATTGAAACATTTCAATTTGTTTTTATTGCAAGATTATTAACCAATAATTAAATTTTCTAGTAGCAAAATGGAGTATATAACAAAACTAAATAAAATTTAACATTATTGTTTACAGGAAGCAAAAAGGAATAGAATGAAAACCTCGGCTTGGGTAGCTCTTAGGTAGAACGGCTTGAGGAGCTCTTCGCTCGCCATCTTTTGGTTCCGTTGAAACTTGAAAAGCGTGGATTAAACGGTTCTGTTCAGAGCAGAGTCCACGCTCTTAATGGCTGCTTCCACACGCTACAACCCAACCCTTCTTGACTTGCCAAAACCCTTTTACCCACACGTACCTATACTGTACAAATACGTGTGTATGGTTGTGCATGTACCGTAACGTTTTTCACATTCCTATATTAATCGAAATGCCAAATAAGTTCAGTGTTTATTCATAAAATGATGGAAATAAGTTACACTATAGAGAGTTCAAAAACATTTATCCATTAACAACGCGAATATTGTAGATACTCCATTTTATGCGAGTCTCTCCCTTAGTCTCAGTGAAAATTTTAAAAGCATTTCGAATTTCCATAGTTAGATATTTTAGGGTCTAATTTATTTATTGGGTTGGATTCTTCCATACTAATTGGGATTCTGGTTGCTGTTGGCACTGTTAACTGACAATTGAATAGTTGCAGCTATAGCTGTTCTGTTGTTTTCATATATTCTTGCTGTATTTAAGAATTGAAACTAAACTTTAGCATATATTTAGTGATCATTGCCATGGAATTAGCTCCTTAGCTTTCTTCCGAGTTGTAGTTATTACTACTATTATTATTATAGAATGTAATAAAATGATTTCTTTCGTCTCTATATTTCCTATCATCGTCATGGTCGGATTGGTAAATGGTCAGTATGGCTGAGGAACCAGTTCAGTCTAGGCCAAACTAGGCTTGCACCATTTTTGCTTTTGTTCAGTCATTGCGCCACGTGCATTGGTACAGTCTAGTTTGAGCCCAAACTGTTTAAACAGACACTTGGTCTAGATAAAAAAGAGAATTGCAAATCTCAGCAAGTATCAGAGCCATATTCTTAAAAATCAAAGTGTCTCTGACTAAATTACTGTTCAACAGCTTGGGCAAAGAGACTAATTTCATCAACCCAGCTTTCAATATGTATTAAGGGAAAGGCACTATTCATTACAAAACCACAATGTTTCTCACTGATGCAATTGCTTTCATATGATTAGTCTCCTTCAAACTTGAATTTGCTGTGATAACTTGTCAAGGCTGGCCAAGAAGTGAAGGTCTGTAGAATGCATGGCTCTGTGCAATCTCAATGCGGTCTCGGGGATCATTCAAGGTTTCATCCCTCAGTGCCTGAAGGATAGCTTGAGATGACTTCTCCCTAAAGATTCAAAATGTATGACAAGCTTAGCATTGGACATATTGATCATCAAAAACTATGTGAGTACCAATTGGTCGAGGTATAGAAAAATCTACTGATAGTTTATGTGCTGCTGGCACAGGAGAAATGGGTGTTGGTTTCAGTGAGGCAGGTACAATATATAGCAAAACTTATATTAAGGTACCATTTTTTTCTTGTGTTACTATCCAGGTAAGAATCTAATGCTTAGATATAAATCTTGTTATTTGTGATTTCCAGGCTGAAAAGTAAATTTAGGTAACTATTGAACTTCTCGTCTTGCATAAGCCTACTGAGGATTAAGAAATTACCTTGTTATGAGAATTTTGTAGAGTGTCTTTAATATAGGGCACAACTCAACAGGAGCAACAGGCTTGTTTCCTTCAGGATGCAACACACTTAAGCTTGATTGACTGAGAAGTTCATAAAATGCTCCTACTGCAGAGACACCCTGGAAAAGAATTAACATTGGTTAATTTTATCGTCCAATGATCAAATGGATATGTGCGATCTCAGTTATAGCTGAAACAGCAAATTGTAGATTATGCTAATAAGTTAGAACTGGATCAAGGTTTCTGGAATATCTGCATAGATAACCCACAATTATCACAGCCACTTGGCTGCAATGCAGCATTCACCTTTTCTGGTTCTTCCTTTTTAAAGATTTTCACTTTGATCGTTAAGAACAAAAACTGTAAATTCCTGCTTCAAAACCATAATTGCAGAGGTGAATTTAATTAATGAGTCAATCTTTTGTTTATCATTTTCTATAAACATAATGGTTTTAGACATTGAAGCTGAATACCATATGTATGGGGGCAATAAAGACATCATTCTCTTAATGATTTGTTATGCAGAACCAGTTCATACTTCATGAATCCTGAAGTACTGGCACATTCTCAACAAGAAACAATTTTGAGACCACCAATTGCACTCACAAAATACAGTTGTAAAATATGATGTTGAAGAAACTATTTTACCTGAATCATTCCTTTTCCACTGATGCTATCACCCATATCCCGACTTAGTTCTCCTTTGGCTAACATTTGCCCATACCATGCATTACGACCTTTCAACAAAGTTACATAAGTGTCAGCCAGCAAAGGGCCTGCAAGCTTCTCAGGTTCTTCAGCCAACAAGTGAGTAATAAAAATCATCTCTGATGTACAATGTGCAAAATATACTGATTTGCTGGTAGCACTCTCATTGGTCAGGGCTGCTACCATTCCTGAGAAAATCAAACTTGAATGTCAATATGTTGTTCCAGAATTTAGAACAGTAACTTTTTTTGAACTTGACTATGATTTGATTATTACCTAATTCCATAGATCTTAAATTGAAATCTAAACATAGCTTTACCCACGTTCTTCCTTAAACATATAAGGTTGTTTGACCTATGTGCATATCAATCAAGAACCCACAGTATAAATCTGCATTCTAATTCTTATTGGCATGTTAAGGATGGGACGATCATCAAGACTAACCCGCTGATTACTCACTGTTGTCTGATTGTTCATCCTTGACAGATCAAGCAATAGGCTTGTTTTTTCATAAGCAATATTGAGCAGTGTTGTCCTTTCAATTGTTGAAATCTCTATTGAGCACCTTGTTTCCAAAGGACATATGACAAATTGTTCCCTAATTATGATTAGAAATTAAGATACAAAGATTTCCTGCAAAGCTATCTCCACCAGAAATCATGGAGATAAGCAATTCATTGGACTCAATAGTCTCCTAGTTTCAGTAGACACCTAGCTTTGGTATGTTTTTGGTTACATAATAAATGTCCCATGAAATAAGAATTGTTTATAAATCCCTGTAAATATAATCTGTCCCAACAGTATTCCCAGGATGCCTCTCTTAAGGGTATAATCCATCTTCTCCAAATTCGTTCACACTTACACTAGATGGTTGTAGTTCACTAAAGGAGAAGATAGGTCTGTCAACCCAAGAACCAGACCTTGTTAATTTTACCCAAAATTTATTTGGCACAAGCTGAGAGATTCTATACTAACAAGGTGTTTTCTTATAGAAAACAAAAGAAAGTATGGATTGATTGTTACTTATGTAATTAATGATCTTATGCAGCACCTTGTTTCAATTACTTTCTCCCTCTTTTTTGTTCCTTACAGGCTGATAGGATTCATAGGAATGCAAATACATAATTATCCGGAACGACTGAGGTTTAATTTTTTCTGTATCAGGTTGTTTTTACCTTTTATTGATGGTGGTTAACATCAATGATAGATGATTAAAATAGGTCAAGGTTTCAGCCTATGACTGATAAGACTAAAGTACCAACCTCAGGTGAAACAGAGCTAATTGTAGTTTTGTCCCCACAAACAAAGGATGACAGAATAATATAAAGAATACTCTTCCAAGGATAATTGAATCACAACATCAATAGAGGTGACAGTTCCTGGAGGCTACCTAGGAGCTGAGAAGAGCAAGGAGTTACCAGCTATATATCAACTACATGCTTGGCAGTTTGGTCAAGCTGCCAAGAGGAATAATGGCCAACCACCCAGCAAATGAGTCACTGTTTCTAAATCCAAGAGGTTGCGTTGAGTAATTCTTAAATGCTGGTTCAGTGGCCTTATCAGTTTTTTGTTTTTGTTTTCCCCCAGACCTGAAGTTTATTCCTATAATATTTGTCCAATATAAATAACAAATAAATTCAGCAAGGGGATCTTTCATAATTATTAAATCTTTTATGGGTCAGGGAAAAAAATCACTGCAGATATTGTTGTGTGTAATATGAATTTTATTGGCTAAAGATGTAGAGGTATACACTTACCAGCTCCAATGGCATAGACATTCTTCAGGCCACCCATGACTTCATGAGTGACAAGGTCACTGTTGTCCCACACAATGAAATGGGGCTGCCTTAAAAATTTTGCTAGTGGTTTCCTCCACTTTTCGGCTCCGCATATTCGAGCATTAGCATATTCCTTATTGTAGATTTCAGAGGCAATATTTGGTCCCCCAAGATAGAGTATATTATCTATAGGTACTCCAGCTGCAAGGAACATACTGATAAAGCTCAAAAAAATGATAGACAAAAGGTTTTCTTGAGAGGAAAAAGTAGACAAAAAAAAGTAAACTATGTGTTTAACAAAAAGACATTCACGGCTTCTAGCAAAAACAGATCTTGGAAACAGATTGTGGATTCTGCATTTTTGACCTCCTGGCAAATCTAACAATGAAAGTAGGAAACAGATTATGGAAGTTGAATTAAGTACATTTGCATTTTATAGTGATGGAGGTAAGTTCCTTTCACAAAGTGTGTAGGGAATTCATTATCTGAAAACCAACCTCCCCCTTTTCCCCTCTTGTTCCCCCAGGCGGCAACCAACAACCGAGAATAAAAAAGGAGGACAGGCACAATTAGGAAAAAGAAATCCTCAGGCATCAGCTAGGAAGCAACATAGTTCTACATCACACATCATACTGTTAACTACTTAAAAACAAGTATTTACTGACCTAGCAGTTTGAATATTCTAAATGAATTATAGTTGCTAGAGGCAACAAATAAATATTTGTCTTGATAAGGTTTCAGATGAGTTATGTTGGCTTGTTGAGTATGAGTCCACTCGAATGTATTTGTAACAGAACCTTAGAAACATGTTAAATTTTCAGATTGTTTCATGTATGCAACATGCTTTTTCTGGTTCAAATTAGCAGCATGGTAATTTATCATATACAAAGCATATTAACCCCTGAAATAGCAAAAAATGATATGATCCATATGACTTTTTAAGCCAGAAATCAGATACTTCTATGCCATCAAATTCACTAAGCTGCTACTTAACAACCTAATAGCAGCAAAAGTATTTCAATTTTCATCAACTATGAAATGCATGTCATGATTCAACTCCATTTTGTTCCTGGTTGCATCTATGCTTTCCAATGTTTTATTTATCCAAAGGGGAACGCATATAGGAAAACGTAGAAGAAGAAGAAGAAGAAGGAAGAAAAAGTTCACTAAAGCAGAGCCAAGAGATGGTAGGTTTGAACATTTT